TTCAGTCACGGACCCGCGATGTCGCGTGTGTGTTCTAGTTTTTATAATACAAATCACTCTGAGATATAGACACTACAGATTCTTAGTGACGTCTCATCCTGAGTTAACATTTTTTTTTATTTATCATTCTTATAATATTTATCATGTACATGTATATATGATTGGCTTATTAAATATCAAAATGGTCAGTTTTTCTTGATGCGGTTAAAGATCGTGAGATACGAAAACTGCCACTCTACATTGATGCGGTTAAAATTTTCCATTCATCATGTACATGATGTACTGATATTGCTGTAATTTTTTATATCCAATCCACCCTGAGTTGACAAATTTACTGACTTATAATTTGCCTATACAATTGTTAAAATAAAGTACAAATATACTAACTTTTGGTCCATATAAATACAAACCATCTGTAGAAATGAAAACTTCAGATTCTTGTGACAGTTCAGATTTTTTTACTTTTTACTTAAAAGAGGAACTATTGACACTCTTAATTGATGCAGATGAAATATTGTTGACAATAAAAACTGGGGGTGATCTCAGATGCTCCGGAAGGGTAATTCTGCTCTACATGTGGCATCCGTCGTGTTACTCATGTAAGTACAAACCCTGTGACAAGCCTAATTTGGTAGGTCACATTCGGGCAATAGCGGACGGGATTTTAGTTACGACAATTGGAATATATCCGTCGTCATCAGTGAAACAGATATTCCATAACGTTCAACCAACTCGTAATGGCGTCCGTAATTTTTTCGAAGGGACGATTTCAACTTCACACTTGGCACTCTTGGTTCAATAGCTTCCTTGTGTGCAAATATTTAGCCATTTAACAATTTACAATAAAGGCGTTTGAGTTTGGTTTGGTTCTTTATAAAAAATAGTTTATTGAATTATGAACCTAAAACTTTAACGGGTTTTGTTTTGTGTAACAGTAGATAATGTATATGGTTGTGTCTGTTTGTTCATCAACTTATCAACTCTGATTAATTTATTAAAGTTCATGTATTATTTATCATTGTGTTATCATAGTAAAGATTCATCGTCTGAATCTTTTTTTCTTCATCAACTTACAACGAGTCTTCAATGATAAGATGACATTTCGAGGTAAATGTGTACCTAAGGTCCAAAAAATGTATTAGAAGCCAAGTTGTACTCGTTCAAAAAGGCATGCTAATGAGATAAATTAAGTGAAAAGGCAAAATCGTAATTGCATTTCGAAGTTATTTTTTGCATATGTCATTTTACTTTTTGTAAAATTTAATGCTAAAGATAAACAAAATATAATTGAATTCTGTAGATGTATGTTTATTTCTAATTGAGTTGATATGTTTTTGTCACATCTCCTTACATTTACCTTTTAGAAAACTATTTTTTGAATAATAAAAAAAAACAAAAAGGAAAAAACACATCCAACAACAACACACACAGTTACATATGATATGACAGAACTCTCACAGTTTTCCTATCTAGTGATAACATTTGTTTGATTAACTGTCTTTTATTTTAAATATATTTTCAGAATGATTATCATAGGTAAAATGAACAATGGTTAGGTTCAATAATAATACATTCGTCTTGTCTAACAAGGCGTATAACAGTTTAATGAGGATAGTGGCTAATAAAGGGGTAGTTAGCATTTCAAACTTCAGTATACTAATAGATTTTGAAATGTCAGATATTCAATGTAAAATTGTAAGTTGTTTTTACTTTCACTAGATTATTTACCCGAACATTAGCTCTTCAGAGTTAAATTAGAAGTAAGTATATAAATTTACGTATTTTTACAAAGAACTCGTTTTTAAAATGATACAATCGTGGTTAATCATTGGTAGGTAGGAAAATCAAGGATTGTTTTTCGCTGCATCTAAATTAACATAGAATACTATAATACAAGCATCATATACACTGTCGAAACTTTCTACATGCTTTATTTAAAAAATAAATCTGCAGTGTGATATACAACATTTTATTCATAAACATTGATAGTTTTGTGTAATCTATTTAGAACGGGATACCATAGAACATTTACTTCTTGGTCTACCTATGCCCAGGGAACCATGAAAACTGCTAATACAGAAATGATAATAATTCACAATACATACATGTTTTACCCTTTTAACAAATAGTTAACAACTTTAAACGAACTTATAATTCATCGAACATTTTCTTTTTATATCGTACGTACAAGATTACTGCATTATTTATTACTGCAACTCAAAATGTAATAAAAAAAAATGAATTCTGAAATGATTTCCTTAAGGAAAAGTCCATTTAAAGAGACAAAATTAAACGCTCGACTATCGAAACCGACTGGAAAAGAGTTTCTCTTTTTTTTTGGCCATGGCGTTGTCAGTTTGTTTTCGATCTATGAGTTTGACTGTCCCTCTGGTATCTTTCGTCCCTCTTTTGTCATGTCAGATTCAGGTCTTTTAACAGAAATATGGAAGTAACATATATTAGGGTATTTGCATTGCATTTGGTTTATCCATTTATTCTAAGGACACAATATTAATTATGAACAAAACTATTACAGATACAGTTTTTCTTTTCAAAGTTCCAATACATTTTTGTTAATAATACCAGAAGTTCACGTTTAATGAAGAATTATAGACCAGATATAAAAACTCATTATAAATAATTGGCTTACAATGTGACAGGCCACACGCTTACTTCAGCTACTATACGACTCATCAATAGCGCTCAATTCAAAGCAGGTGCGAAGCCAAATTAGAACAACGGAAGAAATTCAAATAAATATAGAATAATATATTGCGAAATCCGTATCGTATGCTGTATCACCACGAGGAACTAATATCAGTCCCGAGGGCCGAAGGTCCCGAGGGTTGATATTGGTTGAGTGGTAATACAACTTGCGATACGGATTTTGCAATGTATTATTCTGTTTATCATATATTTTTATAGAATCAGATTCATGGGATATCCTGTTTTAATTGTCCGTAAAATATGTGAGAGACAAGAAAATTATGATTTTCCTGTATTTTTCCAGTTGACTTTTTTTTTAAACACTTCCTAACTTTGCCTAATATCCCGTTTCGTGATAGTCATAACAAAATTCGGGATCGTTCATACTGGACGAGACATCGACATCGTAATGTCCATTATAACCTTATTACATGCTCAATATAGAGCTATGAAATTGGCAAATAATATGTTTTGTGACCATGCATTCAAATGCATTCACTAACGATACTGTCAGCTGTTCTCTCCTGTAGAATACAACTCACCTTCCCAATATTTATTGTTAAGTTTAACCATTTTATACTGCAATCTGATCTCATTTATATACATAAATGTGGACAACAATGTTACTAAGTATCATCAATTCAAAGATTATGGACAGACAAACAGAGGGATTCCTATATATATATTTATATGAACTCCACATATTCGACAGGGTTGCAATTTAGCTCTACCAAATATGTGTATACTTCGAAAACTAAAATTTCTTCAATAGTACTTGATGTTAAAACTTTACTATCATGTTTTTTTTTTCCAGGGGGTATATATATATACTGAATACCATGATTATTTCTGAAGCTTGTGAAACCCCATCATTTTTTAGAACTAAAAACATTGGACTTGGAATTTCCAAAAATGAAACTCTGATAAATGAATAAATATTAATAAAACACCATTTCTTTTTAATCTAACTATCAAAATAATAATTTCACAACAAGGATCACATAACATCAAAAACAACTACACTAGGTTTAATACTGTTATTAACAGAGAAATCCTGTCATTTGTTAAAATAATCCATCCTAGGAATTTCTAGTCCTATTCTGGCATATATGACTCATTTTGTTTTACACGTATTTGGTGTCAAAATTACTTTCCCACCCTTTTTTGATGCATGTGATTTATAAATTTCCGTTTTCTCATTTTGAACCTCATATTAATACAGGCAGATGTAATTTGTTTTAACACCACTTTTAATATTTGCATAATTCGAAATAATTTGGATTTTGAAGTGAACAATTTGCTATTTAAACCCTTGATTTAGGAAAAGTATCAATGCACATCAATGAAGTATTGCTAATTAATACAAATGCTTTAGAATAGTAATCTATAGACTCCTTACTGTTATTATCTCAGTTCGATTGCACCAAAATTAACACACATTCATGTACCTGTACTTTTAAATAAACAAAAAAACTAGTGAAGAGAGAATGGGTCTTTTGATCATTTTCCAAAATTAATATTTCTAGTCTGAATTAGTGTCATAAATGACCCATTTTCTCTTGCAAGTATTTTTCAGAAATTCTAACTAAATGAGGTTACATTTCGTATCATGCCAGGAAATACAGCAACTGGACGTCATATGTCAAACTTTTACGACCGGTATGCGTTACGGGTTAAGCTATGCGATACGGGGTATGCGATACGGGTTTAGCCATGCAATATGGGGTATGCAAAACAGGATAGGTGATACAGACTCGAAAAAAACAACCTTTATTAGATATAAAAAATTGCTGTATTTAGTACTAAATATATGATAAAGGTCAATATAAATCATCCTGCCAGAATATAACATACAATTACTGAAATTATTACTAAGCTGCTTTATATCATTGTATATTAAACGGACATTTTTTTCTAAAATAGATACAGTAAAAAATACTATGCACACGATCATGATGTTTCCACAGATTTAAACTGCAGTTATATAATGCACAGCCAAATCAATGGTGATAACTAGTATCATTTTACATTAAACCCAGGATATTTCTGTGTAAAACTATTTTTTCCGACTCGTCAATTAAATTTATATTTTTTTAGAAAGGTCATCCTACATGTAGGTTAAATTGAAATGTGAAAGTTCAACATGGTAATTTTTTTTAGAAAGGCGGATAATGATTTATTGGAGGTAAATGGTTGATAAAGAGATAAGTGTTTCAAACAAGGATAATCAACAGTTTTTTTTTTTGAAATGTCAGTAATTGGTTGTAAACATTTAAATTCGTTTCCCACTCGCCTTGTGATTTACTTGAATATTCACTTCTCGAAAGTAAGCTTCTATTCTACATATGTGTAAGTACATATTATTTGTATTATTTTCAAATCAAATAATGCTTTGAATTTATGACACTGGACGTTAAGCAAACATCAATTAATCTTATATGTAAGGGTGAAACATGGATGGAAAAACCCAACTTATTTATGTCAAAAGTTGGCAAATGTTATTATATAGTCAATATCATTTGACGATGTATCATAATGCTTTATTTCAATAACTCAAACATACATCACAGAACACTTGTGTTGGATATAAAAGGATCATTAATTGGCTCGATACAAATTTAAAAGTGTTTCTACTAATCGGCCAATAAAATCCGAATAGACCGTAAATCCTCGACGGCATCAGCAACCATGTCCACAACGAAATGCAAATGACATAATTCATGCATGTCTTCACTTATAATTAGCTAATCAAGAACACTGACCAAATATATCTGGCTTTTATTTTTAATTTTGTTTTAATCCTTTGATATATATGCATACCTGGCTTCCCTTTTGGGTGTTCCTGATGAAGTCAACTCTAGACAAGAGCTTTTTACATAACACATGACCCCTTATGTTGGACTGCTATTCTCTGATATTATCATTACAGTCCTTGGATGGTGTAAACTTCCCACTAACACCATACACCATTACACCATTCACCATACACCGTTACACCATACACCCTGTGCCATTACACCATACACGTTACACATTAGCACCATACACCTTACACACTACACCATAATGCAATTTAATTTCAAAGAAAGCGTGCAACTACAAAATTATTCATTTATCTTAAAAAAACGAATTTTAATCACAATATTGAAAATTAATGTATAAAATCAAAAATCAGATCTTATCAATATTTTGCATAGTTTTAAATGTTGTTCACCATTCATTCACACCATTCCCGATCACACGTTACATTATTACACCATTCCCCTTACACCATACACCATAGCACCAAACACCTTCTACCATTGCATCATATGCCATACACTATTAACCCATACACGTTTTTTTGGGAAGTTTACACCATCCAAGAGCTGTAGCTCAGTATGCAAGACATATCAATTAAAATTTGTAACATAAATTTTCGATATCTGATGATTGCATGTATTTTCTAAAGGCAAACTTGGGCATCAAAGGTGGGGTTTTTTTTTGTTTGCTTTAAACGTTCATTGACAAATGTTAATTATTAATTTTTTGTTTGAAGATTAATTCATTGTCCAGTTCACTTTGTGTTGGTTACATTGATAAACGTAAAGAGTCAACAGTTTTCATCTCTAAAAACCTGTATAAAGTGTTGCTCCATGTGTTCCGATTCGATAACATACACGTTTTTTTTTACGAATTCTTACCTAATGTTTTTGATATTAAAGGTGTTCGCTGTTCTTGTAGGTGACTTTTTGTCAGATACTTGGGATCCTCTGATTTTATCGACGAAGTACCATTACAAATATGGCCCGCTTACTCCTATTTTTGTCATGACTTTATTGGATATAAAGTTTTCCCCTATATGAAACCTATTTGATTACGTACATGTTCATATTTTATGAATTCTTACCTCATGTTGTTATATTAAGGATGTTTGCTATTCTTGTTTATTGACTTTTGTCAGACATGGCAGATATTCGGAATCCTCTTATTCTGTCGATGAAAATTAATTTAAATTTGTAAAAAAATGTAACAATGTTAAATTTGTTATCAGTATGCCCTGCCTATATATCAACTAGGCCTAAATATTTGACAAAAGTTAATTGTTCTTGGCCAACCATTACTTAATTATAATATTTATTTAAATTAACGTTTGCTTTACGTATAAAGGAAATTGTGTACTTAAATACAATTTGCGGGGTCAATCAGATCACAATTTGCTACTTACGGATAATCGTTGGTCATCTCAACGAGATTCATTTTCTCGCTTAAGCCGGTACGCCGAAAGTGAGAAAAACGATCGAGATGAAATGACCATTGATAATCGGTTTATCGCAATTTTGCCTATGTCGACGTTGATATTTACATTGACAACGGCACGTGCTCCCTAAGTTTCTAGCGATAATTTTTCATATCACTCTACTGTCCTGAGAAAGGAAATTATCAGTCATTAAGATCAAAGGAACATTTCGTAAAATAGCCATAATTAATGTTATTTGTGTTCTTATTAGGCTTTTAATGTATTGACCTAATCTGTTTATCATTTACCATGTTGTAAATATGTTTTCGTTGCTATAACATATACAACAAAGTATTCATAAATTATAAAAATATTGAGAGAACCATTTATTGCAAAATTCGCAATGGCTTGTGTGTAAAAACAAATAGCACGAATAAGGAAACGGACCTTTTATTTTTTTCTGGTAATTTAGTTATATTATCTATATTTTATCAATGTATAACAGTTTTTGTAAAAGCTTGTTATTTTGACACATAACAGCCAACATCCATAAACTATAAAAATCCACATCAATTTGTCTGCATATTTTTACGTACGCTATCGGGATTTGGGCTTCAAGCTTTGTATGTGAAACATTAATAAGATTAAACAATGCGTAAATTTGCATCCATTTGTTCATTTTTGAAAAATAAAGTTTTTAACATTAAACCGAGAACGGAAATCATGTCTAAAAATTCACATCTGAATCTATTGTTGGTACTTATATCCTTGGTATTGTTTTTTTTCATTTATATCCGAAACCTAATTGTCGTTGTGGTGTTTGGGTTATGTCGCAAAAAATTCAACAGATTAACTGAATCATACATCTTTATGCTAATTATGAGGTCTTGTTTTACATCATTAACTTTTTTTCAAAGTTTATCTTATTGGGTTAAGTGTTATTTAATAGTCACTCTTATTATCCTTTCAACAATTTACATTAAGCAGTCAGGGGCATTACTTAAAAAAGTAACATTTAAAAATACCTATACAAGTAATGTTGAAAACGAGGCTATATTTAATATTACTTATATAAGTAACTTTTTTAAATATTATTTTTATAGGTGTCCAACTATACAGATTTTACTAGCTTTAACAAATTTTCACCTGGTTTCATCTGGTTATTTTTCCCATGAAATATAAACTCTAATCCTTCTGAAACACTAATTGTCTTTCTGCCGCACTTATCTTTTATATCGACGCTTTTGGGTCAAAGATTGGTCTCTTGGGACTATTACAATATCATTTTTCTCAAAAATCTTGAAGGTAGACAGATATAAATAAATAGAAACTTGTGAATTAAGTAAGACTTTGAATTATTTATAATTTGTAACCCAAAACACTTACATATGTTCCTTAAATAAGTGTTATTACTAATTATTTCACAGATGTATAAAATAACTTATTCAAGCAATATTTTTGTCATTGTTTTTAAAGTAACCGTTTATCTCTATACTCCTCTAAAATCTAATAAATTCTTCATTTTATGATATAAAATGATGTAAAAATTTATGAAAACTACATTCAGTCCATGCTTCTATTGAAATTTAAAATAACTCTATTGAGTAATTTTATAATTTTTAAAAACAAAAATTACCTATATAAGTAACTAAAAAAAATTACTTGTTTAAGTAATGCCCCTGACTGTTAAGCTAAATTATAATGTCACGAGGAAAAAATATTTTCTAAAATTATAGAAAATCAAAACCAGACTAATATAAATTACATAAAAATATATGGCTATTTTAATTTTGAAAACATTTACTTTTAATTCTTAAATGTTTCTTATTTCATATATTCGAAATCTTTTGAATTTAGTTTGTTATGTCTTCATCATCAATTGTATTACTCGTTTAATGTATGTACAATTGGCGAAAAATATATTACAATTAGTGACAAAGATTTGATAAAAACAGTACATGCGAAAGCTGTGCTACGTTGCTATACTTTTTACTTATTTTTCACAGGGCAATGGAAAATTATCCTTTCTTTGTTGTGTTGCTTTTAACTGCAATAACAGGTGAAGTATACTTGTATCTATGCGAGGTTGCACTTAATTGGTGATTTCATATTATAACTGTTTTATGTTCAAGCACAGTCTTATTGGGTCAACATGGTCAAGGTAAGCTGACTGATAATGATAAACACGACTGTCGGAAGAATCATACAGGATCAATATGAACTATTTGCGTTAATTATCATTCTAATACAATGAATGTTGAATAATACTTAAAAGTAATGATGTGCGTTGAATTACCATCTTATTCACCGATAAAAAAAACTCGATTTTTACACGAGTCATCTCCCATCAAAATGACGTTACTTACGTATGTTAACAAAAATGACACAACTTCCAGGTAAGAACTGGTCTGTGGACTAGAGTGACAAAGAAAAAAATATTTGAAATCCATCTGCTTCCGAGGCAAGCATTCACAAACGGCCGTTTTCGCGACACCAATACTTTACAGAGAGTCTTCATTTATTGTACATAGGAGATCATAATATAAATCTCTGGCTTAATGTTTTGACAGATTATTTGATGCTACAGTGATACATCATATCCAAGATTGCCAACCCTACAAATTACTATCACTTTAGTCTGCACCATCAGAGAAATAATCGTTTATTGTTGACAATTCTGAATATTCACACATTCTATCGTCCATAAATGTATATACTCAAAGAAATAATATAACATATGAAAAATAAAACCAACTCAAACATCAAACATGTTGAAATCTAATATTTTGCGTAATACATTTATTAATTTTCCGACACCTTTTTGAACCAGAAAAAAATCCTGTATTAAGGCCAGTAAAAATTCTGTTTTAACTGCTTTATTTGGTAAAAAACTTGTACTAATGACCATCTCTGAGATACACTGAATCGTAATAAATGAAAATTTATAATGTATTTTAAGTCATTGGTTAATAAACTTCTGATAGCTGCTTGATTTACAATACAATTGAGAATGGAAATAGGGAATTTGCCAACCCGACCAAAGAGCAGGAAATAGCCGAAGGCCACCAACATGTCTTCAACACAGCGAATAAATTCCGCACCCGGATGTTTGCTTCAGCTGGCCTTCAAACTAAAACGCGTACTAGTTTAGTGATAATGCACGTCATACTCAACTCTAAAACATTTAAATTAACTAAAATTAAAAATCATACTAGACTAACAAAGGCCAGTGGCTCATGACTTGTGACAGACGCAAACATGCGGCGTGGTTAAACATGTTTTGTGATATTTCAACCCTCCTCTTATACCTCTAGCTAATGTAGAATAAAAAAAAAACAAACACACAGCAATAGGCACAGTAAAACTCAGTTTAAAAAAGTTCGAGTTCGATGTCATAATAGGTAATAAAAGAAACTAAACAAATTGACAATGATACATAAATTAACAAAGGACTACCAGAACTTACTGACATGCAAGCCTCAGAGTTTAATCAAACTCATTGAAAGATTATGTCTTCATCATATGAAAATCGAGCACAATCCCTCCAGTTAGGGGTTTAGTATCATACCATCACAAAATATATTAGAAAAACATATATAACCCGTATCATGCCAACAACTGGCTTTAGAATAAATGTGTTTAGTTCTGATGCAAAGACCCTATAAGTGAATCAATAGTAATACCAATATATGCCATCTTTAATGACCTGACAACAGTATCGTAATAATTATATGAATTAAAACATTGGGATTTGCTTTATCATTATTGGACGTTTTTGTTTTAGATGCACAGTAAAAATCTGCTGTGTCATTAATCATCTCATATAAAAATTTGTAATCATTTGGATAAAACAGATTTGTACACATTGTATAAATATATATCATAGTGTTATTACAGGGGTATTAGCTACGAGATATATTAAATTTAAAATATGATTTTTTTTTTCAACTATTAATGAAAGTGAAATAGTGAAATAATAATTCGCTTTTAGCAGCCAGTTTGGTTCAGTTTTGTCAAAATAAGCTTAGAAACATCGCTGATAAATTAATCGCTGCGAAAAGAATATTTCGACCTAATTGAATCCGTATTCATGTGACCTTCCATTTAATCCTTTAGCTAGAGATGGATTACGCATGAATTAGGCGTGTTCAGTTATTAATGGAAAATAATGTCAACATTGAAAGTGAAACTATGGCAAATGTGGTAAACCATTTGATTTACTGATTCGATTCACAAAAACTCATTCGTATACAAGTAAAACGAGGATTAACATATATTTAAACCTATAATATGAAATCAAACAGACCTAGAAAGAAACAATTGCACGAGTTCGCTATCTATTTATATCTATAGTTATGTTTATTTCAAGTTATATTACCGTCGACAGCCTTCGGAGGTCACCTCGATGGTTAATAAGATGGCGTCTAGACTAAAATACACACGAAATGCTGATACATATTATTGATCCCATGCATTTGAAATTGTTTATTTTAGATTTTCCATAATTTGGATCTACTTTTTAGAATGTTATAAATCAAATATGAGATCTTGAATCAAATCGGTGAACATGGATTTGACAACTAATGCCCCTTTAAATGGGTGTTTTCTTATTAATTATGTATTATGTTCAAGTACAGTAGTATAGAATCTAGGTTAGCTGTATTGGCTCGAGACGTAGCCTTGGTCCAATACAGCTGATCGACAAACAACCGGACTAGTAACTTGTAATAAAATGCGAATGAACTCTGGAAAAGAAAACATATTTTGTAACCACCATTTAGTAATATTAAGAAAGGCATTGAAGCTTTACGTAACGGCTTTTAAAATTGTGACCTTCATTAGTTTTTATCGGTAAAACTTATTTGGCAGAAATAAAAAATCAATATTAAAAAAAAAGATGATGACCGTGTGACCATTCGGCCATTATCGTAGATTTCGAGTTTAATGCCGCTATATCTTCTATCTCTTATGGCTCGGCCAATAACATTCCTAGACAATGACAAACTCAGCTTGAAATAAAATTGGCCTAACAAATTTGGCTTCTCATGTAGTAGCTCTAACAAATTTGGCTTCTCACATAATACATGTAATAGGCCTAACAAATTTGGCTTCTCATATAATAGGCCTAACAAACTTGGCTTCTCACATAATAGGCCAGTAAAACAATCTGATCATTATAGACATTAGATAAGATTGTTAAATCGATATCATTTATTAAATCAATGAATATACAGTTTACAAAATTACTAATGTAAACAAACACAAATATAAAAAAGAAGTTTGAATTTGTAAAAAGTAGTTGATTCTATACATATTCGTATAAAACATTAGATTTAAGGGAATTAGAATACTTATATATTTCTCGTCAGATTTTCAGAGGAATCTGTTCGTGCTAGTTAGGTAATTTTGTCTCCTCAAAAGTAGACTGCTTAGATACTTAAGACACATATAAAGCATAGCGCAAATAGTTCCAAACGTACTGTTACTTCTTGCAAGTAACACATCGGTGAAAAGCAGAATTTGATTATTTCACAATCGAAAATATGGACTAGATTTTAGTTCAAAACCAAATAGAATATATTCGTGGTCATATATAACAGTCAAGTAAATAAGTACATATACCTTAAAACATCCGTTGCTTGATGTTTGCCACACACATGGAAATTTCACATAATAAATTTAGATGTGTTCTAATTGATAATTGTAATTTCTAAACAGGTGGGTCGACGGACGTTATTCCTCCAGGAGAATGTAGAGAATGTTCAGACGGTTCTGGTTGTGCTTATAGACTAGCGTTTTGTAATGGATATAATACTTGTTCAAATGGCGAAGATGAAAACGAGGATTTATGTAGAGGTACCAAGGTTAATTGTTTAGCTGTAACAGGGATCTGTTATATATTTTAAGAAAATGATTGTTCATTGTGTATGTATAATTCATGTTTTGTATCAAAACAGGGCATTCTTTTTTTTTCTCATTTCTTTCAATATTTTATATTTAATGGCCACAAATTATTTTAAGAATTGATCGAAATCTGAAAATTTTAACAATATTATATAAGAAAAATAAAGAACGCCAGTCCTCTACTGTTTAACCAAGATACTACTAGAAGCATTCTGTTATTCTAGAAAGATAACATGAACGTTAAATCATGCTAAACAAAATCCATATCAGACTTTTCTTGATGTCATATGAATATGCCCGGTCAACATGGGAGCTCAATCAATATTGTGCACCTAAAATGTCTGTAATAAAATACTTATACGTAGTTTACCCATTAATCCTATCATGTGCTGCTTGGTTTTATTTAGAATTGGAATGCGAAAAAGGAAAAATGAAATGTAAAAACGGGATACATTGTTTTCCTGAATATACTCTTTGTGATTACTACGCCTACTGCAAAGATGGTTCAGATGACGATCCTGAAATGTGCAAAAGTAAGTAAGGAGTTATAGCTGCATAACATAATTTAAAAAATGACATAATATTGTGGTGTCTTGTTTTATCTAAACATAGTAACGGTTTGTTTAATATTTTTTGTGCAGTATTTGAAATTTCTATCTATAAAGAATTTTTTTTCCAAATGAAATTCCAAGCAGAATGGTGTCAGCAACTAAAAACATTAAAGCTATCGATTTTACTGCAACAGATACGCATTTGAATAAAAATGGAATGGTCATTATTATTTCATTAATACGAAATTAATATGGATTTCTTTAAAAAAAAAAAAAACAATATAAAAAATCTCGCTATTTTACGATTGCCGTTCCTTTATTTTTCTTACTTTTAATATATTCAATGGCATGTATGATAGTTCATTCATTTAGATATTAATGCATGCGTATCTGTCATGGAAAGTATTTGTAACGACAAGTAGGAAATATTAAATTCTGTAAAGTAGGCAGTAATATGTTTATAAAGTTATTAGACTGCTACTACTACAACTGTTTATAGTAATATTATTTTAAAACTTAATATCGTTATCGCATTACTGTAATTAGTAAGTCGACTTACTTTTTCGACCATGTCAACAGATCGAACGTGTCCAACTAATACAACAAAGTGTAGTGATGGCATTGCTTGTTATTCGGAAAAGGATCGCTGTAATGGTGCAGAATTATGCAAAACTGGTGATGATGAAGATATAGACATGTGCAAAGGTTAGTTCTTAAGTGCAAATGTGAATAATGTTTCTGTATTGTGTCTTGGAGTTCTTGACAAGCACAGGTTTATAAAAAGTAGTTTTAAATATTCATATGAATTATATACAAGTTAATATAAATACACTTTACAATTATAACATGGTTAAACAAAAACACGTCTATTCACTTGTCATTCTCTATTCCTCTGGAATGTCGACATTCTTAAATTCCTATATCACTTCGACTGCCCCTTCCACACTTTTCACACCAATCAAAGTAGTATTCTCCTCATGACCACACACATATATGGACAGAGCATAAACAGACAAAGTCATAATATTTACAGTGTAATATGACAATGTTTGAATGTAAAAACACAGCTGTAAAAACACAGCTGCATTATATATTAAATATATGGGTCATACAGACTGTCTGCTACAGTTCATCAAAGCAATTATCAACGAATTATTTAATAGCTACAACCTTATCAACTTACTATCATTTGTTAAACAAATGATTACTGTTTAGGTACAATGTTTTTTTTTAAATACCGTTTAATGACTATTGCCATATAAGCCAAACATCTTTTTATTGGTTAAACATTCTAGCAAACTACAATTTATAAAATGGAAATTGAAAAAAAAGTTTACTGTCTTACGTTGTTGAATGTTTACAATTAGGTCGGTTCACTAAATTGGAACGATTTAAAGATTAACATGGTAAACAAATTGCATTTAAAAATGATACAGAAAAACATTGGCAGTAACTCGACAAATAATGTTCATATTAACAATAACGAAACGTGTAAAAATATTATGATCAGAGAATAAAAGGACACCTGAACATGAACCCTATGTGGAGGTTTTTGGACTGTTTGCTCTTTGACAAAACAGTAAGCGTTTGACAAAGTAATCGCTATTTTGTCTGCGGATAAACGTATTACTAGCTAGTGAGTACTCTCAGATCTGTATTAATTGTCGTTTTTGTTAAGGGTCGTATAAATACCCTGCCATTTCCGGTCTGTGTTTTGTATCGATTTGATAAGTTATTTTGTATAGTTTGTTCTTCTGCTGTAATGTTACACTTCTACTGTTCTAGGTTAGGGGAGGATCGGGTGCCAGCAAACTGGTTTAATTCAACCACATTCTGTATTTGCCTGCGCCAAGTTAGGAGCCTGTAATTATTGGTTGTCGTTTGTTGCTGTTAATCGTTTATTTTCGTTCATAGTGTGTACATAAATCAGGCCGTTAGGTTTCTTGCTTGAATTTATTTAGATTTGTTATATTGGGGCCTTTATAGCCTACTATACGGTATGGGTTTTACTCATTGTTGAAGGCCCTACGATGACATATAGTTGTTAACTCATATGTCATTTAGTCTTTGGTGGAGAGTTGTCTCATTGGCAATAAACCAAATCTTCTTATTCTTATAATACAAATCAAATATTTTTTTTAGATTTTCAGTGCCCACCGGACTAAGTAAAATGTGCTGATGGTTTACAGTGTATTAGAACGCATAACCTCTGTAATGGATATCCACGTTGTAAGGATGGGTCCGATGAAAGTAAAGAGACGTGTACAGGTCTTTATATCATCATTCGAGTAGCACTGCTACATGTAGCATACTTTTACATTGTTTACCTACTCATTATTTTTAGGTTGTTCTGTGTATTTCACGGGATAAATATGCTTCCTACATGTATATTTGCTCCTTGGATTTTGAAATCTTTGTTATCTTTCTTCTATGCACCTATTTCTGAGATCAGCTCTGCATACTACTTGTGTTTTACACTAGTTTGAAAGTCTTAAATTTTAATTTGAGTACTGCTTAACTGATATATGACACATTTATGCGTTATGATCAGAAGAAGTATGCTTTTGACAAAACTGTAATATTTTGTGAGTTTTAATTTTGGCTTATATAGATTCTTAATCTTCTGAGCATGGTGTACATACACACATTTCACTACTGAAAAATAGTGATTGGTAATTGTTTATATACTTTACATATGGTCAATTCATATTCTATTTTTTTTTGTTGTTATCTATACTTAACCTAAAATGGTCATATTGCATGATTTAAACAATTTCTTGGTATTTTAAACACATTGAAAGAACATGATATATCTTAGCTTAATTTAATTAAGACTAAATTGTAACATGTTATACATGTATAAGAGTCAGCGAATGTGTTTCCTTATTATATTGTCATATCAAGGTAATAGTCTTAGATACATCATTTTGTATTAGTTGTTATAGGCTTCCAACTAACTGACCGTAACTGCGAATACTCTCAGGTTTGTACTAAATGTCGTTTTGTTGAGGGGTGTATAAATACGCTGCCACGTTTGGTCTGTGTATTCGTTAACTTATATGTCAGTTTGTCTTTTGGGGAGAGTTGTCTTATTGGCAATAAACCACATCTTCTTATTTCTATAATACAAATATTTATTTTTTTTAAGATTTTCAGTGCCCACCGGATCATGTAAAATGTGCTGATGGTTTAGAGTGTATAAGAACGCATAACCTCTGTAATGGATATACACGCTGTAATGATGAATCCGACGAAAGTAAAGACACATGTGTGGGTCTGTATATCCTTATTTGCATACTTTTATATTATTTTATATACTCTTAATTTTTAGCTTGTTCTGTGTATTTCACCGGATAAATACTTTATCACACTGCTTCTTGGATTTTGCAATCTTTGTTATCTTATTTCTATACACCTGTCTTTCTGAGATCAGCTCTTCATAATAATTGTGTTTTAAGGATTGGGACGTCAAATATTCTAGCAGCCGGTTGGATATAGAATATCGAATATCGAATAACGATCCGGCGGCTAACTTCACATTCATCATTAAGTTAATATTTTTAGTAAAAACATTTCATTTCAATGTGACCTTACAGATACGACTCATCGCCTGGTTTGTTTTTACATGAGCAACACAACCCGTGTCATATCTGAAGCAGAATATGCGTTCCCTTCCGGAGCACCTCTAACGTTTTGTAGAGTACGTACTGATCAGTCTGTAGTTTTGTTATGTTGTGTTGTGTTTTGTATGATGTTGATTTTTTTTTGCCATTGCATTGTCAGATATTTTCATTACTTTATTTTAATGTCATATTTGGTATTTTGTGCCTATATTTTTTCCTTACAAGAACATATCATTCAATATCGTTTGTTCATAACAATCATATTGTTTTAATTTCTTGCGGTCGGCGTGTGTTCATTTTTTTTTTGTGTTAGTTGTGTGCGTGTATGATTGATCGTAAGATTCACTGATAAACTGCATTCCTGCTTTGACATTTTTAATTTGATAAACAGCCACCTATTTCTGGTACGCTACAATGTACATGTAAAGAGTTTCATGCATTATGATCATTTATCTTCGATGTATTTAGTTTTGATATGTATTTAAATTAGGGCTACAAAATTGTCGACTAATAGCACCAATATACTAAAGATAATTTCTTTTAGGACACAGTAGACAAAAGTGTTTTTATTTATTTGGTTGTCAGTTGAAAAGTGTAGACGAGGAAATAATTTTCTGATTATTATTAAGATTTCGAATGTGGTGAAGATAAGGTCAAATGCCAGGATGGTTTGCAGTGCGTATATGAGACAAGTCTATGTAATGGTTGGCCGGATTGCAAAGATAGATCTGATGAATCAGCTGAAGTTTGTAATGGTAAGAAAACAACTTAA